GCTAGAATTTCAGTGAGGGTTTTAGCATCTAAATTCATCAGGGATATTGGTCTATAATTCTTTCTTTGTAGTGTCTTTATCTGATTTTGGGATTAAGGTAATGCTGGCTTTATAGAAAGAGCTTGGAAGTGTGCATTCCTCTTGAATTTTTGGAATAATCTGATAGATTTTGGTTCTTCTTCAAATGTTTGGTAAAACTCCCCTGTGAAGCAATCCAGTCCAGGGCTTTTTGTTTGCCAAAAGTTTTTTGATTACTGTTTCAATTTCATCAGTAGTTATCCATCTACTCAGGTTTTTTTATTCTTCCTGATCGAGTTTCAGATGCTGGTATTTTTCTAGGAATATGTCCATTTCATTTACGTTGTCCAGTTTGTTAGAGTTGTTTGTAGTATCCTATATAATAAAAGACTAATATGTTAAGTGTATGACCGTTTGACCAGTCGCTATAATGTGCACTGATCACCAGGGGGCAGATGCTCTGACTGGTAGGCTAGCTTGCTGCTGGGGTCCAGCAGATTGGAACTGGGAAAAACATGCGGGACATGCCTTGGAGCCCTCCTGTGGTTTCTCCCTGGCCGGCCAATCTCCTGTGGTTCCTCCCTGACCAGCTGGCACCTATTGGAACTGGGAGAGATGGTCCAGATATGCTCTGGAGTCCTCCCACAGTCCTGATTGTGCACCGGTTATGTCCCTCGGCATGGCCTGCACCCTCTCACAATCTGGGACCCCTTGTGGGATGTTGAAGAGCTGGTTTCCTGCAGGCCAGGCCAAGTAACCCCACCAGAGCACGAGTCATGCACCGGGTGTTTAGTTTTTTTTGTTTTTTATAATCCTTTGTGTATCTGTGGGGTCAGTTGTTACTTTATCTCTTTTATTTCTGATTTTGTTTATTTGGGTCCTCTCTGTTTTTTGGGGAGCCTGGCTAGGGGTTCATCAATCTTGTTTATCCTTTCAAAGAACTGGCTATTAGTTTTATTGATCTTTGTATTTTTTTTTTTTTTTTTTATCTTTTATGTCATTTATCTCAGCTCTGATCTTTATTAGCTCCTTCCTTCGGCTCACTCTGGGCTTTTCTTGTTGCCCTCTTTCTAATTCTTTAAGTTGTAGGGTTAGAAAACTTATTACCGTATTTTCTTGTTTTTTTTGAGGTTGTCTGTAGAGCTCTCAGAATTACTTTCACTGTGTGTCCCATAGATTTTGAATTGTTGTGTTTTTACTGTCATTTGTTTCCAGAATGCTTTTTATTTCTTCTTTGATCTCTTTGATTACCCAGTCATTGTTGAATAGCAATAGCCTCCAAGTATTTGATTTTATTCCTTTTTTTAGTTGGTTCATTTGAAACCACCACCACATAGTTTTCCTTCTACCTCTATGGTCACTCTAATACTATTAACTCACCTGCCACTTACATGGTAGTAGTCCTCAAGATTCATCCATCCCTAGCATTTAAAAATATTTTAAATAATCAATTTTGAGAAAACAATAAAAGTCATGAGACTGCCCCTAGAAAAAATGATTAAGACGATGGGATAAACCTTATATTTCTTCTTGTGCCACAAATATTTTTAATAAAAATTTTTACAAGTTAAACGGAATATATTATGATACTGGGAAAAAGGAAATTAAGCCTTTAAGAATAATTTTAAGAAATCCCTGGAAGTTAGAAATTAAAAGAAAGGAGAAATCAAGTACATATAAATCATAGTCTAAAATTAAATTCCACAGGTCTCATGGCAACTAAAACTGTTCTATACATGCCTACTTCAATGTTAAGGGTCCTTCAAATGCAGTAACTGGAATTTAACATATTCACAGAAATAAATTTTCTCCTCTGTGGTTCCTTTATTTTGGTTGTGGTATTAATCTCCACCTAGTCACTCAAGCAAAACTTTTGAGGATCATTTTTGCTTTTACTTCCTTTCTTCTCACATATATGCCCCCTTCAAATGTTGTACTGACATGATTTTTTAAGTTATGTCTTAATTATACTGGCTCTTCCCTAGCACTGTTCTCATTACTTTATTTCAATGCAGCATTTTCTGTTGTCTTAAGTATGCCAATGCCCTCCAACCAGTCATCTGTGCCTTCACACCTGGGCTCATCCTTGCTAAATCTATCTTTCATAACACAGCCCAAAAAGACAAGGGTGGGAAACCTTTTTTCTGCCGAGGGCCATTTGGATATTTATAACATCATTTGTGGACCATATAAAATTATCAACTTTAAAATTTGCCTGTTATATGTGTTCAAATATTTAATTAACTCACCCTTAATGCCTTGGTAAGGCCATACCAAATTATTTCTGAGGTCTTACATGGCCTGTGGCCTGGATGTTCCCCATTACGTTCTAAAATATCAATCTGATCAGAGCATTTGCCTGCTCATATGTAACACTGATTCCTTATCTCCTCTAGGCGGACTCACATGTATCACTTTTTCCTCTTAAATTGAAGACATATATGAATCAATGACTATATGCCTCTCTTTTACTATCAAGTATCCTAGCCTATTATGGACAATAACTTACAGTCACCCTAATCACAGAAATTTTCAAATGAGCCTGAATATAGCTTTAGAATCTTTAAAACAATCTTTCAGAGCCACTTATTAATTTATCGGAGTTGATGTGCAAGAAAATAAAATCTATTTACCATTCTTGAAATATAATACAAAATCCTTTGCATGGCATCCAACATGCTCTAAGATCTATCTGGTCACTGTATACTTCTCTTTGGCCTCATTTCCTATTCTTCCATCTAATAGGTAATGCTCTAGTCACGATGAACTACTTGTAGAGTTACCGAATATATTAAACGGATTCAGCAGTAAATACTTAGGCTCATGATATTCTCCCTAACAAGAACACTCTTCCCCGTCCTTTGTTTATTTTTATTTAAAAAAATATATTTTTATCCATTTTCTTACAGAGCTGGGAAGGGAGAGGGATAGAAAGTTTGAAACATCCATGAGATAGAAACATCAATCAGCTGCCTCCAGCACACCACCTCCTGGGGATGTGTCCACAACAAAGGTACATGCCCTTGACCGGAATCAAATCTCGGATCCCTGAGTCTGCAGGCCGATGCTCTATCCACTGAACCAAACCAGCTAGGGCCCCCTTCCTTTGTTTAAATCCCTGTAACTCTTTTAAAAGTAATTATGCACTGCAGGCATTTCCTCCTGTGGGAAACCTGCCTTTACATCCCCAAGTTATGCTTCCTTTCTTTGATGCTGAAGCCTTAGTTCTACTTTACCACATTGTATTAAAGTGACCTTAGTTTGCCTGGCATGAAGCAGTTGTTCAATAAATGGTTCTTAAGTAAGAATGGCAAAACAAATGAGGAATAATCAATTGTTCTGTTCAAGCCATCAGAGAGACTCGTGAAAAATTGTGTTATTGCATATACTGCTTATAGATTACTCCCATACATTGTCAGTGCAATATTCAGGACTACTTTATTTTTTGTAATTCATAGTCAAACCATTGTCACATACCTTCTCCACCACACTTTGTTCTTTTGTAGTAAAACATCTGGGACACACTTTTAGGGAGGCTTTATAGCTATGTTGATATGTTTTACTATTTACTATTTTGTCAAATTGAGAAAAACACAAGACTCGCATCACCATAATTTTTGTATTGAAGTAATTAACAAATGGAAGCAAGAATAGAACAATGCAAATACGAAGAAACTATATAAGATACTAGATAATTTCACTAAACTGAGTCACCTGATATAATCTGCTAGCAATGATTTATCCACCACAGAGTTATTTACTAACAGCCTAAGTGTCCCCAAGATTGGGAGTTATGTCTCATTCACACTGTAATAATTCACATATGACAGAGCCCTGTTTTGTGAATCCAGCTGCAAAATTTCAAATCAGGTTCAAATGTAAACAATTCAATTAAGAAAGATCAGATAGTTAAAAGCTCCAAATACATGGACACACTTGTGTTCAAGCTATAATAAAAACAAAGATATCATCAATTTAATATCTTTCCTAATTTTCTGAACAAGTAAATACTACAGTCCGATTCATAAGTGTGGATCAACATCAACTTAAGACTTTTAGGGTCTTAGTAAGAGATAAGTGGAAAGGGATCCTCAGTTAAGAAGTCTGGAGAATCCTGATACACAGACAAGTGGATTTCTTAACTGTAGTACACAACAGCATTGTTAATATACTTCAAAAGAGAGACATAATACAGTCCCTGAAGCAAATGTCACTATTGAACTTATAAATACCTCATGAGACCAGAGTATCTAAACCTCAGGAAAATACAGCTTTAGATAAATTATTATAAGGCATTGCTGAAAGTCAAATATTAAGCTTTATTTTATGAGAAAAATCAGCATATACATTGTATATTCAACCCTCGTACTCTTCTAATGCCCATCAAGATTTTTCTTTAGCTCTGAAACATTACATAGATATTTGTTTGTTAATCTCCCATGAGAATGTAAACTCAATAGCATGTAAGAAGAGTCTATTTGCTTCACCAACGTATCTCCTGCTTCCAGAGTAGTTCGTGGTCTCAAGTAAGCTTTGAATAAATGTTTACCAAACAAAGAAAAGCCCAAGGTATAACTCTTAATTCCTTACTTAGAAACACTTCCTTAAGGTAGTATGAGAAAGTGCTTAATTAGAAGTATAATTTAAATTATAGAATTTCTACAGATATATGCCATAGAGAATTACTATAAAAACTAAAAAGGTAGGGAGTATTGTACCTGACCTCCTAACCTAATAATATGTTTTTCAAATAGATTTAGCAGAAATCAGACAGGTCCCACAGAATTTACTATTTAAAAATCTACACATATTTCACTAAAATTATCTGCATGTAAATATTTTCTAAGATTTAAAAAAATATATAATACATTTTTATGTGTGTTCACCAGTATAACTGCTCTCAAATAATACTATGTAAATTAGAGTACATAACTGTTTAGAACAATTGAAACGTCAGTAATTTACAAAATCAGAATGCTCACCTGATTATCTGAGAGCCACATTGCAGTCAACTGCTGTAGCTTCGTAAAGCTAAAGGGCAAATTCTTTAACCTATTGGAAAATATACAAACAAAAATTAAATTTTAACATGAGAAATGTTAAAACAAGAGTAAATTGAATGGTTTCTAAAAAATGTCATGGCACTGCATATGAGAATAGGAGAAAAGGAGTTAATTCAGGAAAAAAACCCAATATAGATCTTTGAATGGGACATAAAACAAAATATTATTTGGTTTTGTAAGAATCCGTTTTTAAGATACAATTCTTTAATTGAATCAATTTGGTCGAGGGGGAATAGATAATCCAATAACCTCAAAAAATTATCAAATAAGAATTAATATTTAACTATCCTTACCTTAATGAAAAGATAAGAACACATTAAGCAATGTCTCATAAAACTGCTTTGGATGTATTATTTGTATTTATAGAGAAAAAAGTGTTATAAGAAGCACTCATAGTGACAGCTTGTTATAGAAACTGCACTGATCTATATTTCATTGTGAGCCAGCATTTTCATACTCGAGTACTATTTTAACATTATAACAAGTAAAAACAAAGTAATATAAAACTCATTAGAATGCTAAATTAGAATAGAATCCTATTTAAAATAGAATGTCTACATAAATCTTCTGTCTTACAAAAGAGTAGTCTTTTGTACCCATCTTCCAAGGCAATTTGTTGGAACTTAGGGCCGGGCCCTAGTTTTAGGGTACAATATATTGGCTAAAACAAAGTTTTAATATATTTTTTTAAGGCAATGGTTCTTTAAAAAAAAAAAAAAAAAGTAAGTCAGAATATCCTATCTGGTCAGAAAAGTGGGTTTTCACTGAAGCTCATTAAATCTAAGCCTTAATTGTCTCAAAATGGGAATACCTGTTATACTATTTCATAAGATTGTTTTGAATAATTTATAAGAAACTATGAAAGCAAAATGTAAAAATGCTATAGAAACACTCTTTTATCATTACAGAAGTTTCCATTTCCACAGAGGATAAGTTCCACCCCCATCCCGAACCCAGTGAATGACTGAAACCAAGGATAGTACCAAACCCTGTATTTACTTCCACTCGGCTTCCCCCAATACATACATAGCTTTCCCCTTAAAGAAAGCACTTAATGACTTCTTTTTGGCATATCCAAGTTGCCAGCCTCACTATTCTTGTGCTTTGGAGCCATTATTAAATAAAATAAGTGTTACATGAACACAAGCACTGTGATATGGCGAGAGTTGATCTGATAACAAGAGGGCTACTAAGTGATGAACAGGGCAAGTAACATATATAGTGTAGATATGCTGGACAAACAGATGATTCATGCTCTGAGTTAGACAGCTTGAGGTTTCATCATGATACTCAGAACAGAACACAATTTAAAACTTATAAACTGCTCATTTCTGGAATGTTTTCATTAAATATTTCGATCCACAATTGACCGCAGGTAACTGAAACAGCAAAAAGTGAAATCACAGATAAGGAGGGACTACTGTAAGGAGGGACCACTGTATTTTACCTTTACCTCTGGGAAAATTATTGTTTTTACCTTAAACTTTGTTACAATTTAGCAGCCCTCGTGATCTATCTGCTCTACACCTTGGCTACACTGTCCAAGCTATATGAGGGGTGTCTAATCACACCTCTGCTCAGAAAAATACAAAAAGCAGATTACATTAAAAGCTGCTTTGCTCAATAGCAGTTTTAAGGTGAAGATCTGATTTTAGGAATAAAAAAGTTTGCTATAAAGGAGAGAATAAAGGTTGCATAACTAAAGTCAACACAAAATGAATCATGAAGTTCAGCTGGTATGGATCAGTAATTGAGTATCAACCCAGGAACCAAGACATCACTGGTACGATTGCCAGTCAGGGGTTGCAGGCTATGTCCCTCATAAGGGGTGTGCAGTAGGCAGCAGATCAATGATGTTTTTCTCTCATTGATGTTTCTATCACTCTATCCCTCTCCCTAACTCTCTCTTTAAAAATCAATAAAAACATTAGAAAAAAAGAACTGTGACAAATAACAGTATAATTAAAATCAGGTAAAGTTACATCATTATTTCAGATAAAAATTCTATTTGAAACTTTAATTTTATCCAATCAATTTATCCTATAAAAAAAATCAATGAATACATATTACAAACCTATTGTCACTTAAATTAATGACTTTTAATTTTTGCATATCACCCATTTCCTCTGGAAGTGTCTCAAGTTTATTGGAGTGGAGAAAGAGTACAGTTATATTTTTCCAGCTGCCAATCTGAAAGAGAAAAAAAAAACTGGATTTCAGAAATATGGCATTCTGCTAAACAGACATAAGTAAAATGTTTTCAAAAGTTATGAAAAATACTCTTCTCATTTATAAAAGTAAATTATATTTTCGCTTTATTAATTTTATATTTTTCCTTTATTAATTTTCATGTATGAAGAAAGGTACTATGGTATTTCTTGTAAACCAATGTAGCTAACAAAATAACTTAGTTACATAATTATTTTTGAAAGAAAATAAAACCATAGTAGATAGCTATGTAATATAATAAATAATTAGAAAAAAAATGAAAATTCAAAAGGAAGTTAAAATACAGTACCTCCGGGGGTAACTGTTGTAAGAAGTTATGATCTGCAGCAAAGGTTCTTATATTAGTAAGCTGCCCAATAGATGAAGGTAAAGCTTCAACTTCATTGAAACTACAATCCAGTTCTTCTATTGATACTAACCTTTAAGAAAAAAAAAATGCATTAAAAAATATTTCTTATCTATAACCCAAAACTTAAGAACCTAGGAACTTTTGAACTTGACTTAATGAAACTAGCAAAACTGTCTCCACTAAGATAAACTTCACCAATAAAAATATCGATTTATCTTTATTATAAATATACCCAACCTGCAATCAGTTGCTTTTTAAAATGTTTATGAAATCTCCTTTAGAAAGTATTTATGCAATTATCTGAAAATATATATGGCATGTTTTTTAAAGTAAAATCTTCTAGTTTTACTAATTCACAAAAATCTTACCCTCCAATAGAGTCTGGTAGAAACATTAATTGATTTTCATCTATTTTAAGAGTTGTTACATTCTTCAATGAACCTATTGAGGGAAGAAATAATACACAATTTTCCAGCTTGAACTATAAGCAAGTTAATGTGAGCACAAATGACATTTGACATTAATCATAAAATTTTCTTAATTAACCCGGCGATATTATACAAACCCCTTCACTCTATTCCCTTAGCATATATTTATTTTTAATTTTTAGTGTATATTTACCTATTTAATTCCCTTTGAAATTAGAGTAGGGACTTTTTGTTTGCTTTGTTCCCTGTTAATAGTCCTCCTCCTTAAAATAATGCCATGCACAGTAAAAACATGTAATACAAATGTGGTATTAATAAATTAAAGAAATGGTAGTATGAAGTTAGCTTTCATAGGTGTGTAACAAACTATTCTATGAATAACAAATACTAAAGCATGAAAATGGAGCTTATTTTAAAATAAACATACTGAATAAATTATGAAATTTTAAAAAGTGTAACCTGAGCTAAAAAACAACAACTATGTAGTTCAATGGAAAAACATGTAAAAATATTTTTTGGTTTTATATTTAATCATCACAAAGAAGCCAATATTTAATTTTTTGATTCTTTAATCAAAATTATTTAATTCCTTTGATGCATCATCAGACAAGCAACTAGATGAATAAATAGATTCTCATAAAATTTGCTAAACAGGTCTCTCGCGTTTGTGAGTCTAAAATAAAGACTGAAAGAGTTATCAGATTATGGGCTATGATAAAAAATTAAACCAAGATTGGATCTATTAACCTCTTTAAAAAAAATTTATTACAGTAATAAAAATGACAGTTCCTTAAGGAAAAAATACAATAATATCAACAAAGGAGTAAATTAGGAAAAGTTTAAGTAAGATTTGTGACTTCAGCAGTACAGTAAAACTATCTCAACAATGGCAAAAACTTAATTTCTCAGATTTTACATTATTAAAAATTAACTACAGCCAAAACCAGTTTGGCACAGTCGATAGAGCAGGTCCCAGGTTCGATTCCGGTCAGGGGCATGTATCTTGGTTGCAGGCACATCCCCAGTGGGGGGGGGGGGTGCAGGAGGCAGCTGATCAATGTTTCTAACTCTCTATCCCTCTCCCTTCATCTCTAAAAAATCAATAAAATATATATTTTTAAAAAATTAATTAAATGAATTAGAAAGCAATACAAACCAATAGTTTCAGGCAGTTGTTGAAGTGCATTGCTTGATAATAGGAGATCTTGAAGGTTTTCACATGCTGAAATTCCTTCTTCAATCATTTCAATATTATTTTTAGAAACATCCAAATATGTGAGCTGTTTCAAACTACCAATAAACTATAAGTAAAAAAAGAAAATCGAATGACTATCAACAGTAAATAATCTGTAAAACGTTTAAGTAATGGACCTAATACCAAGTTATACCTTATAATTAAATGTTTTATATGAGAGAGGAAACACAATTTAAAAATATACCATTAGTTATGTATTCGGTAATAAAGCTAAAAGTTCTACTAATTTTAGTCCAGCAGAGCAGCAATGGACATATACTTTTCTTTGGAACTCAGCTGTCCATCACTGACAAGGGAGATAACACATACAGGGATTCTTATGCTTTAGGTGTGGGAATGAACAAAATGTCAGTTGATAAGACAGAAACTACATGGAAAATACTCTACTTGAACAAATCCATGGGCAAACTGAATTAGGTTACAAAGTCAATTGTGCACTGAGAAGGACACACTGCATGGTATTTAAAAAAGACTATTTTACAAAAGTTTATCGTGAAAAATTTCTGATTTTAGTTAACTATGTGTTAACAATAAAAAATTATTTATATAACTATTTAATAATATTGAGAATTAAGTAACCATCCATATTTTCTCCAAGTAAAAATGATTTCAAAGTATACAATTAATAAAACTGCAAAGGATACAGAGCAGTAAGGAAAGCCATTTAAAATTTGATATACATACCCCTGGAATAAATGTCAGTCTATTCCCATCCATCCAAAATTCTTTCAATCCACTTAGTTGCTCAAGTACTTCAGGCTTTTTAAATTTAGAAGGAAGAGGAAGGAATACAATTATTTACTTGGATGTTTAGATTTGGGGGGGGGGGGGGGGGAAAGCCCCTGGGAATGTCTAATGACAACTTTTAGTATAAAATTAAAAAATGAGGAGAAAATAAAGCAGAGCTGAGAGTCAAGCCTTTCTCTCTATATCACAACTACAGAAGAACACAAAGATAGACGATCCCTAACAGCAGACTGAATAACATTCATGTAAGCTTTTGATTACATAATAGATGTACGTATTTATACAATAAAAAAATAAAAGCGCCACTGCTTTCAAGAGTACAATAAAAAACTACTCTCAATCATTACCTGTAAAACATGAAGACTATTAAGAAGAGGAAAGAAAAAAACAAGTAGGGCAACATACACCTTAAACGTCCAATAAGGGAAAGGTAAGTAAACCATGGCATAATCACGTTAAGTGCATTCTGTTATTTTATTTTATTTATATTTTATTTTATTATTTTATTTATTTTATTTCTAGAGGCCCAATGCATGAAATTCGTGCAAGAGTAGGCTTTCCTTTCCCCGGCTGCTGGCATTGGCTTCCCTCTGGCACCCTGGACCCAGGTTTCTCTCCGGCTACTGGCAGGCACCCAGAACCCGGGTTTCCCTCGCAGCCCTGGCTTCGTCCAGAAAGACGTCCAATCTAATTAGCATATTACACTTTTATTATTATAGATTACTATTTTTTAATCCTCACCGAGGATATGTTTTTTTTATTTTTAGGAAGAGACACAGAGAAAGAGAGAGAGAACACACACATCAATCGGTTGTGTCCCATATGTGCCCCAACTGGGGATGGAACACACAACCTAGGTAAGTGCCCTGATGGGGAATCAAACCCACCACCTTTTGGTGTATGGATGACACTCCAACCGAATGGCCCAGTTATTTTAAACTCTCAGAAATTACATGGTGGAAGATTGTTCATAATATAATGTTGAGGACCCAAAAGATCAATCAAAGAGTTGCAGTGGTCCTTGGTATTTAGGCAAAATTTGACCAGAGGCATTCAATTCACCCTTGGAGGCTCTTCTGAATTCATCCTTCAAAGGTATTTGTTACCCCACAAGCCTGTGTCCAATCATCGACACTGTGAAGGCATCGTGTACCAACATATGTAATCACCATAATAACATCAGTAATATATAAAAAGCTATCATTCAGATTTACTTTTAACATATAAATATTGGTAAGAATTCTAGGTACAACATGGATATTTTAAAAATTCCTTTTGAGATTTACCTGTTATAATTCTAACAGTATGTTTTTTATAAAGTATATATATATTGTTGGAAGACCAAAATGGTACAAAAATTAATGATTTCTGAGTGCTGCCGATTCATAAAAAGAACAATAATTAAGAATTTTCAGTTGAAACCGGTTTGGCTCAGTGGATAGAGTGTCAGTATGCAGACTGAAGGGTCCCAGGTTTGATTCCGGTCAAGGGCATGTACGTTGGTTGTGGGCACATCCCCAGAACTCTCATCAATGTTTCTAGCTCTCTATACCTCTCCCCTCCTCTCTGTAAAAAAAATCAATATATATTAAAAAAAAAAAAAAAAGAATTTTCGAAGTTAATATGGAAATAGTTTAATACATATAAAACATTATAAAACATATATCGAGAGAGTACAATAGTTAATTTGGGAAGCATAGAATATATATTTTTCACAAGCAGTAAAGTCTTCCAAAACACACAGTAAAACCAATCATAAATCACCTTCAATTAAAATATAAGAATATGAAAGTCTTTAAGATAAAACGAGGGCCGAAACCGGTTTGGCTCAATGGATAGAACGTGGCTTGGGGACTGAAAGGTCCCCGGTTCGATTCCGGTCAAGGGCATGTACCTTGGTTGCGGGCATATCCCCAGTAGGGGGTAAGCAAGAGGCAGCTGATCGATGACTCTCTCTCATCGATGTTTCTAACTCTCTATCTCTCTCCCTTCCTCTCTGTACAAAATCAATAAAATATATTTAAAAAAAAAAAGATAAAACGAGGTACCCAAAGCCTCACTGAGAAGCTGAGTGTATTTAGTGAGCAAATGTACAAAACAATATCCACAGGGCAATCATGCAGTTGGCAGTGCTGCAGAATTCCTGTTCTCAAAACATCATTTGAAATCTACCACAATTAAAAACAAAATAAACTTACAGACATAATGTAAATATTTTAAATAACTTCTTCAAAAAATATATATCTGGCAACTTCTGAGTTCTCTTGGAGAAATGACTAAAGCTAAAGAACTGCTTACATATTCCTTTCCTTTTTTATTCAATATCATAGTACACTTAGTATACAAAGCAAGAAACATAACCCAGAGATGTCACTAACAACTCAACAATAACCGTTGTTTCACTCAATATTTTCCCTTTAGCTAGTAATTTTATTCAGTTTTAGCACTGAATAAATTCCTAAGCAATACCCCTGAGAGTTTTGTCCAGAAGCAGCACTTTTCTGTCATGCATTCTAGTCTGATGAAACTTTGTTTTCCCTTACAATCTCTCAAACTTTCTACTCCCTATGCCTAAAAACTTTTGGTTACTTTTGTACATGGGTTTTTCATAAATTTTAACTTTTATCCTCACACCTGTCAAATGTTTCTATCTGGTTAATTTCCTCTGTTAAGAACTTTCATATCTTGTCTCTCAAAATTGTGTTTATCTTTACCCAATTTCATACTTTAAAAAATTCAGAGAATACATTAATTTTCACATTTTATTCTTGATGAAATATAAGACTATGGACAGTACGACTGGTGAGAACTTACCACTTCTGTGAATTCATTACTTCCCAAATCCAATCTTTCCAGCTGGGTCAGTCTATTCATGGTTCTGTGCACAATGGATTAATAAAGAATTAAGTATACAAAATATCAATTACATGGAAGCTTTCAAAAGAATAGTGTAAAACATTCTTATGTAATCTCTACTGATGTACAGTTTTCATATGTTGACAAAATAAAAATAGTTTTCTAAGAAAAGGAAGTCGTCATACAATTATGTCTCACTTAATGACGGGAATATGTTCTGAGAAATGTTAGATGATTTAGTCATTGTTTGAACATCACAGAGTATTCCTACACAAATCTAGATAGTTATGCCTACTACACCTACAGGCTATATAGTACAGCCTAGTGCTCCTAGGCTACAGCCTATACAGCAAGTTACTGTATGAATACTCTAGGTAGCTGGAGCACTATGGTATTTCTAAACATAGAAAAGTTACAGTAAAAATACAGTATAAAAGATAATGTGCATGTGCAATTCTATCATGTCTGGAAATTTAACATATTAGAAACAGTAATTAGTAAATAAACTAACAAATGTTTTTCTGGCTTTTTAGTGAAAAAATATAAAACACATATCATAATTGTAATGCCACTGTGTTATGCACCTCACATTACTTTTCCTCAATGCTTTCATTTTAAATATGCCATTGTATCAATTCTAATTAAATTCATCTCACAAAAGCAATTTTTCTCAATGCTACTTTATTTAACTTAGATTTACTGAAGTCTGTTTTCAGATACTATGAGGTACTACATTTCACTTCTCTTACTCTTATCTGTCTTTGTCCAGGAAATCTATAAGCCAGTTCTAGTTTGCTTCATAACAAAGCAAAAGGTGTTTCCAGGATCTTTCTCAAGAAAGATTAGAAGCTATGATATTTAACTCCTTGGTCCATAATACTGTTATCAGGTGGACATTTCAGAAAAGTAAAGAGGGACTGTGACAAGATAACAAAATTCACTTGTACCAATTAATCATATCAACAAGGGGAGGTTACAAAAGAAGGAACAAAAAGAAAAGCAATGCATTAGAAATGACATCCTTAAAAAGTTGTTTTAAAACTGATTTAGGAAAATGTGAATGCACATATATGCAATAAAAAGAGGAAATATAATGTCAAGTCCTAAAATACATAATGTCAAATTGTAGCTAGTTACTACTGGCAATTTTGGTCCGACTCCTCCTCAAAAATCTAGCTAAGAAACACAATTTTATTTTTATTACATTTTCAAGTCTTTTCATTTAAGATCCAGCTTCCCACTTCAAGAAGAAAGTAGAAACAATATCCCTCAAATTTCCTCCTATTTACCTCTAAAATTCTTTTGTGTTTAACTCATTTTTATCTTCTCTTCTCCTGTCTCAAAGGAAAAGTCACATCCTTTGTGTTACTGGTACATGCCCTCCACTATTAAGATGGTATTAAGTTTCCCTTGACTATGAATCTAAAACAGCTTTCTCACTGCTTTGACATTTGATGTGAGTTTGTAAAGCTTCCAAGGTTCTCATCGTAAGTCATAAATAAACAAACAGAAAATAATTATATTTGCAAATTTGAAGCTAAGGAGTTAAAATTCACTGAGTTAAAATCAGTAAAGTCCTTATGATCAAATAGATCATATTAACTGTAGGATATTTCAGTAATTAAATTACATTTTGACTATTCAAACCTTTTAGAAAAAAATCCAAGTTTTGAATTAAGGATACAACAATACCAAATATGTAACATATTTAAACCTTAGTCTAATTCCCACTTTAATTTATACTCACAACTTTAATTCCCACTTAATTTATAATCACAACTATTACTATAAAATGCCAATCATTCTTGCACTAAACAATTACTGAATAAATAATGTCTTTTGTGAATCAAAACTAGATCTGCTCGTCCGGCTGGCGTGGCTCAGTGGTTGAGCATCGACCTATGAACCAGAAGGTCACAGTTCAATTTCCAGTCAAGGGCACATGCCCAGGTTGTGGGCTCAGTCCCCAGGGGCGGTTGTGCAGGAGTCAGCCCATCAATGATTCACTTTCACCATTGATGTTTCTATCTCTCTGTCCCTCTCTTCCTCTCTGAAATCATTAAAATATATATATATTAAAAAAAACCTAGTTATGCTTTTTGCCCTCAGATTATAGTCATGGGGGTTAGGGGAAGGAAGAAGCTATAAGTACATGAGCACAAGATACATATTTACATATGCTGGTCAGGTAAGAAGGGAGTGAAATGTATAAAAATAAATGGGACTAGTGTGGTAAAAGTCATATAACAATTAAGTAAACATGAAGTTGAGTAAACAGAACAACTAATTCCTAGGAAACTGGAGATACTTCTCTGAAGAGGTGACAATTAACTTTGACAAACAAATTGTAACAGGAGACAACAAAATTTTCTTTTATATAAAGGGGCAGATAATACTTTAATCTTTACATGTAATTTCTGTCACAACTACTCTCTATCACTGCAGAGCAAAAGCAGCCATACGCAATATGTAAATGAAAGTGGTTCCAATGAACTTTATTTTAAAAAAGTAGCAATGAATTCAGGATGTTTTAGGACATTTCTACAATAAATGAGCAGACTACACACAGTGTATTTTGAATTTGTAGATCTGTTTATCTTATTTGCTCTTGGACTGCCATCTCTTCTTGATGTTCGCTTACCAGTAGGGGGCCCTCACCCCATTTCTCGTTTATAATAGACTGAAAAACCAGATAGGCTTTTAGAACTATAGTTATCAGACTTCACATGAAGACCCTTTGAATTTCTCTAGTGAGTACCATGTAAGAGTTCTGATATAAGAATTGGGACTTTTATTTGGGACTCAAGCTGGTTTTACATACTTATTACTTTGACTTTTGTCACACCAGACTGTGTTCCAGAGACTATGAAATCATTATTAAATGCCAAATATAGATGCACAGATTTTTACACTGACTACAACTAATATAAATATGACCACAAATGCCAGTCTTTTAAAATAATTTGCACTTGTATTTCAGATATTAAAAAAAATTCTAAATTAAATTTTACAAAGTATAGCACCTCTACTTACTTTGGCAACATTTTCAACTGGTTTTCTCTAAGTTCTAGTATTTGGAGTTTAGTTAATCTGCAAAACAAAGAAAACAAATCAAGTATCTATGACAAAGACAAAGAATTAACAACTTAATATCATAGTCTGAAGTTTTAAAGCAATCAATATTTATTGTGTAATTACAATATGCAGAATACTGTATTAAAAATTACACAGGAATACAAAGTAATACAAAGGAAGAAAAGGCTATTTCTGCTCTTCAGAATTATTGGAGGGAGAGGGGAATAAATACTTCCAGACATATTCACAGCACAAAGTGACTGTCCCTAAATATCAAACCTAGAGCACTTTATGCCTGAGAAAAAACCTACCAAAATTATTAAGTATCTCTGAATAATAATTCAACTCCAGAGCTTGGCTTAGAGAGAAAACCATAAGGGAACACAAGGAGACATGGAAAAGGAGATATCATTAATGCTACAAAGCAATATTACATAGTATATAAATATATCAAATGAACATGTTGTATACCTTAAACTTCCACAACGTTATGTGTCAAATATATTTCAATAAAAATAAAAATGGTCCAAATGTCAGATACAGAATAGGAATTCAACAAGCATATAACCTTTATCTGTATGTGCAGAAACACATGCAAATATATTTATGTATATAAATATATGGAGCATGACAATGTGGTCATTGGGCTGCAACACTACCCAGAATTATTTTTTCTTTACTGAAATACCAGAAGCCTGGTGCATGACATTTGTGCACTGGTGTGTGTGTGTGTGTGTGTGTAAAGGGGTCTTTCAGCCCCGCCTGCACCCTCTTGCAGTCCAGGCTCCTGTCACCTCCACTGCTCACTAGCTGTGAGCCCAGCTTCTGGTTGAGCGGCGCTCCGCTGGTAGGATGCACTGACTACCAGGGGACAGCTCCTGTGTTGAGCGCCTGCCCCTGTTTGTCAGTGTGTGTCATAGTGACTGGTCATTCCGCCATTTGGTCGATTTGCATATTAACCTTTTATTATATACTAGTGGCCCGGTACACGAAATTCGTGCATGAGGTGAGGTGGGGAGGAGCCCCTGAGCCTGGCTTGCACCCTTTCCAATCTGGGACCCCTTGAAGGATGTCCTACTGCTGGTTTACAGGGATCAGGGACTACTGGCTCCTAACCACTCACCTGCCTGCCTGATTGCCTAATAGCCCCTAACCACTCTTCCTGCTAGCCTGCTTGCCCCAAACTCCCCGTCACCACCAGCCTGCTTGTCCCCAAATGCCCCCCTGCCAGCCTGCTCACCAACTGCCCCCCCTTGCCAGTGTGCTTGCCCCCAAATGCCCCCTGCTGGCCTGCTCACTCCAAACTGTCCACCCCCTCCCCGTCCTGATCCCCTCCAACTGACCCCTATTGACATCCTGCTCGGCCCCCTGCTGATCTGCTAACTCCCAATAACTCTGCCCCCCACCAGCCTGATCACCCACAACTGCCCTCCCCTCTTGCTCTCTAACCGCCTCTACCTCAGCCTCACCACCATGCTTTGTCCAGAAGGTATCCTGGAAGATCTCCCAGTCTAATTAGCATATTACCTTTTTATTAGAACAGTGGTCGGCAAACTCATTAGTAAATAGAGCCAAATATCAACAGTACAAGAATTGAAATTTCTTTTGAGAGCTGAAAACCAACTTCTGTGCATGGGCCACGCAGTTTCACTTGCACTGTACCTGTGTGCCCACACGTGGCATTTTGTGGAAGAGCCACACTCAAGGGGCCAAAGAGTGGCATGTGGCTCCTGAGCTGCAGTTTGCTGAGCACTGGCATAGAGGCCTGGTGCACGGGTGGGGCCAACTGGTTTTCCCTGAAGGGTGTCCCAGATCAGGGTGGGGTTCCCTTGGAGTGTGGGGCGGCCTGGGAAAGTGGCCTGTGGTGGTTTACAGGCCTGCCACGCCCCCATGGGGTGAGGATCCCCGTTGGGGGGTCGTGGCCAGCCTGGGTGATGGGCTGAGGACTGCTTTCAAGCTGGCCACACCCTCTGTAGGGTAGGGATTCCCGCTGGGGTGCCTGGCCAGCCTAGGTGAGGCCAGCCTGGGTGAAGGGCTGTGTGTAGGCTGGCCAAGCCCCCCAGAGGGGACCCTCACCCCATGGGGGTGTGGCCAGCCTAGGTGAGGGATTGATGGCTGTTTGCAGGCTGGCCAAACACCTTGGTGACCCAAGCTCCCAGCTCCCCCTGTTTTGTTTTGCTTTTCCCCCCAGCGCCTCCTTGAGTGGAGGCCAGGGCCAGTTGGAAAGAGATATCTGGGATTTATTAATCTTCTATAATTGAAATTTAAAAAAAAATTTTTTTTTTAATATACTTTATTGATTTTCCACAGAGAGGAAGAAAGAGGGATAGAGAGCAAGAAACATCGATGAGAGAGAAACATTGACCAGCTGACTCTTGCACACTCCCTACTGGGGATGTGCCCCGCAACCAATGTACATGCCCTTGACCAGAATCGAACCAGGGACCCTTCAGTCCCCAAGCCGATGCTCTATCCACTGAGCCTAACTGGTTTCGGCTATTATTGAAATTCTGTAGCCTTGAGCAGAGGCCAGGGCCAGCCAGGGCAGGTGGGAAACTTTGCTTCCTCCATCACCAGGAGGAAACCTGCTTACTCCAGCTCCATGACTGCCATCATATTAATTTGCATATTCGCTCCTGATTGGCTGGTGGTTGTAGCAGAGGTATGGTCAATTTGCATGTTTCTCTTTTTATTATATTAGTGTAGAGGATAAGTGACATTATCATAGTTTCAGGTATACAATGTAATGATTTTATCTTTGTATATATTGCAAAATGGTCACCACAATAAGTTTAGTTAAAATTCATCACCATACATAGTCACAAATTCTTTTCTTGTGATGAGAACTTTTAAGATCTACTCTCATGCTCTGCTGATGTGTTCAATAGTTAAAGCATCAGCCTGAAGACCAAAGGGTTTCCAGTTGGATTCATGGTTAAAGGCAATGGTTAAAGGCACATACCTGGTTTGTGACTTACTTCCTGGTCTGGTTAGGGTGCGTGCAGGAGGCACTGATTTATTGATCGATATTTCTCTCTATCCCCTTCCCTCCCTCCCTTCCATTCTCTCTCTGTCTTTTTTTTTTTTTAAATATATTTTATTGATTTTTTACAGAGAGGAAGAGAGAGGGATAGAGAGCTAGAAACATCGATGAGAGAGAATCATTGATCAGCTGCCACTTGCACACCCCCTACTGGGGATGTGCCCACAACCAAGGTACATGCCTTTGACTGGAATCGAACCTGGGACCTTTCAGTCCACAGGCCAACTCTCCATCCATTGAGCTAAATCGATTTCGGCTCTTCCATTCTCTCTTAAAACAAAAAACATCAAAGGGAAAAATATCCTCAGGTGAGGATTAACAAAAAAAAAAAAAAAAAAGAAAGAAAAAAAGAAAAAGATCTACTCTATTCACAATTTTCAAATATACAATACAGTAATTACTAAATATAGTCATCACACTGTATATTATACACCATGACTTATCTATGTTAGTTACAATGTGTATAATTGAATATTAACTGAAAATCTTTACCTTTTTATCACCTTCACCCACACATACCTACAAGAACCACCAATCTGTTATCTATAAGTTTGGAGGTTTGGGATTTTTTTAAAGTTTCCACAAATAAGTGAAATCATATGATATTTTTAATTTTAGACAAAAAAAGAAGACTCTAAAATTAACATGTAGTTGGCTAGCAGTTTCTCTAGCAATTTAAAAATTATAATTTGATTTATAGTGATTCATCTTCTCTTTTAAAAAAATTACCGAGGGACTATAAAACATTTAGATATGGGGGGGAGGGGGGGGACACAATGTGGTAGAATACCCAGAAACACATTTTTTTCTTTAGAATTTTAATTCTAGTGAGAAGACATAAACCAATAATCAGATGATTTTAAAGTATGATAAATGCTAAAAATGAAGCACTTATTTCAAATATGCAGAAATTACCCCTATTTAAACGCTATTTTTGCATACTTTATATTTTTAAAATATATTTTTATGGATTTCAGAGACCAAGGGAAGGGAGAGAGAGAAAAAAAAATCAATGATGAGAATCATTGATTGGTTGCCTCCTACACGCCTCACACTGGGGATTGAGCCTGCAACCCAGGCATATGCTCTGACTAGGAATCAAATTGTAGGTTCATAGGTCAATGCTCAACTACTGACCATATTAGCCAGGATATTTTTGCGAATTTTAAAAAACAATTCAAGTTTCATATTACTTTTCATTTTAAATATTTCAGTTTATTGCTAACTTGGAAAAAATAAATTCAAAGTCAAAATAAGTTCTGAAGAAACTAAAAACCACAATGCTTAAAAATAATTACAAAAGAGCATATGAAACTATAATGAACAGTATTACTAAAGCAATTTGTAGTCTTAAAAACTTTACATAAGCTCACAAGAAAAGGTTTTAGAAAAAACTGTAATTTACCTGCCAAAATTAGCTGGCAAGAACTCAAGAAAAGCATCATTCAGATACAACTGAGTTAGGTTTAACAGCTGAGAAAATCCATCGGGAAGCCTATACAAAATATACCAGAATTTAAGTTAAATTCACATATACAATTTCAGTCTCTTATTAAAATCTAAGAATCTGTCTAACCAACACATATTCTTAACAGATAATCATCCCCTCTTTACTTTTACAAATGATCCTCAAATTGAAATTTGCCTTTTGTAATAACTTACCGGTTTCAAAGCTTGTATCTGTATCTCTATTAAAAGGTAGTAAGGCAATATTTGTCTTAAGATAAAATCTGCACAAAATTGTCAGCTATAAATGAGCCACAATACACAGAATTTAAGACATAATTATGACATCTGTAGGCACTCTTAAAATTCTCCTTGGCTAACATCAATTCAAAAAACTAGATAAGGAATTCTAAACCTTGACAGTATTGATGGTTGGAGCTCGATAATTCTTTGTTGTGAGAAGCTGTCATCTGCACTATTGGATATTCTATACTGTTGGATATTTAGCTCTACACACTAGAAGCCAGGAGAGTGGCACCACAGGCTATGAAAACCCAAAATATCTCCAGAATTTACCAAATAAACCTTTGGGGCAAAATCATCCCCATTTGATAACTACAGGTTTAGATCATTTTCAGTTTCAACATTAACCCCCAAATAATCAAATATTCTATAATTTTATAATTAGCACAAAAAATGATATAAAAGCTCAATGACATTTTAAAACCCTATGAGAATTTCTTAAGTATTAGCTTTAATTTATATTCCCTATGACTTACAAAAGAAATCACAGATCTAGAACTTGATGCAAGAGCAATATTTTCATATGAGGATAAAACAATCTTTATATGTCTGTCCTGGATTTTATCAAGTACAAAACTTTCTTGAAGTAGATTCATCAGTCTTTGACTCATCTTCCTTCTCTCCTAAGTCACATTCCTCCATCTTCCACAGCAAGTAAAGAAATGGTATTTTTTTAAAAACTCATTAAGTACATTACTATACTATGTGAAAGCTGTTTTCAACTTTCAATTAGCAATCCTAGCCTATGTTTCATTTCACTCTGCTCATCTTTTGCTTCACCACTCCATTTTTACAAAATTTAACAGCATTGGCACCAGGAAAGTGTTCTGTGGTTAGCCATTACCATCATAAAAGAATGTATATGACCTCTGGTATATATGTTTTCCTACTTTTTGTTGTATTTCCCTCTTTGACCTTTCAGCTTACTACTTTCAAAAGTCTGAGTGTGCCACACATTTGATTTGCAGGTGAAGACATTCTTATCTTGTGCCAGCAACAATGAGTGAGGAGACCTGAATTCTAATCACATTTTAGACATTAACCATCTATAAAATCTGGAGCAAAACACTTGCATTATCTGTCTGAATGTCAATTTTACCTTTGCAAAATATGGGGCTAGAAAGATTTAAAATATTCCAATTTAATCTAAAACAAATTTTATATAGATTTAAGACTAATACTAAAAGTTCATTTCAATATAGAAAGTAACATTCTATTACTATTTCATAGTTGTATATTAAACTACATGTTTTGATAGTAATTTACAAAAGTAACTTATAATTCAACAGAGAAGAACTTACTTGGAAATAGGGTTTACACTGGCCTCCACAATTGTTAAAACTTTACAATTTTTTATATTCTCTGGGAACTCTTGTATTCCTAAAAAATGAACAAATAATTATCAAATTAAAAGAATCAATTACATGAAACAAGTCTAAACAATTTTTAAGTTCCAAGTAAATTCCCATATCAGAAAGATTTAAGCATAATTTTCAACCTTTATCAACTGATAGCACACATGAACTAATTACTTAAATTTCACAGCACACACAAAAATGTTTTTTGCTGATGTGTCAAAAAACAGATATAATTTTGATTCACTCACACCAGATGGCTATTGTTGTGTTGGCTGTTGTCATTTTTTTATTTGACATCCAAGGGAAAAGAGATCAGTGCCCTTGATTAGTCAGGTATTGCTTGTTTTAAAAATTCTTGTGGCACAACATTTTAAAATAGTTTATCTAAGCTAATCTTTCTAGTTTCTCTGAACTATAATTCTTGGCTTTTTATTCAGTGTGCACATACAGGAAGAATTAATAACTATATAGTGTTCAGTTCTTTTATCTCCCTCTCCCCACAAGTTTTCTCCATCCACCACTTTGATATGTTTTAATCATTATTCTCATTAGTCTTCTCAAGAAGATAGGCCATTTGGATGCAACAGATAATTGTTTTAACACCAGTTGCTATTTGCAAAAGCTTAGGATAGCAGCTTGACCAACTTTTCATTGCTTTAAAAAGATAACAACAAACCAAAACTTCATAGAGACAAAAGGAAAAAGCAAATTACTAGTAAGACTCATAAATTAACACTCCAGTTTTATCACAGAATACAAAAGATAATAAAAATGATTTCCTTAAGAAATAATGATGAATAATAATAATACCTTAAATATATATATACTTCCTATACATAGACTAGTCCAAAATGTGGTTAGCAGTTTCATGAGACAGGCAGGAAAATGGCAATATTGATAATATATACTCGTGGTCGGCAAACTACGGCTTGTGAGCCACATGCGGCTCTTTGGCCCCTTGAGTGGCTCTTCCACAAAATACCATGGCCTGGGCGAGTCTATTTTGAAGAAGTGGCATTAGAAGAAGTTTAAGTTTAAAAAATTTGGCTCTCAAAAGCAATTTCAATTTTTGTGCTATTGATATTTGGCTCTGTTGACTAATGAGTTTGCCACCCACTGACCTTATACAAATAAAAGCCCAGATGGCCCTAGTGCCCTTGCATGATGCCATCACAAGATGGCTGCCCCCATGTTGTAACTAGATAGCCACCTCCACATCATCACAAGATGGCCACCACAAGAGGGTCACCAGGGGAGGGCAGTTGTGGGCAATCGGGCAGGCAGGGGCAGGCAGTTGGAGGGACCAGGCCTGCAGGGGAGAGTAGTTGGGGGTAACCAGGATGGCCGGGGAGGGCAGTTGGGGGAGACCAGGCTGGCAGGAAGTGGTTAGGAGGTGATCAGGCAGGCAGAATGGTTAGGGGCAATGAGGCAGGCAAGCAAGTGAGTGGTTATGAGCTAGCAGTCCCAGATTAGAGAGGGTGTAGGGTGGGTTGAGGGACACTCTCCCCACCCCCCATGCATGAATTTCATGTTTTGGGCCTCTAGTATAATATATAGACTAATTGAGAATTAGATTACTTCCCCAATATAATGGAAACAATAAACTGAGAAGTGATTAGAGTCCAAGTCTTGTTCTTAGAAAAGTATTTTAATCACTGAAACACACTACCTGGCCAATTGAAAAATACTGTACTATGCAAAAGACTAGAAACTAAGAATATAAAAGCAAAGATCTTAAAACAATAGCTTTTAAATAAATACAGCTTTTGGAAATACAGATCGAGTATGCCACAATGTTTCCTGCCTTCTTCCAGGCAGGTCATACAGCTAATGAATATGAAAACAGTATCCAGCATATTGAGATATACTAGATTATTATTAGACTGAACTGTTATGAACACCTAAAATGAGAAAACACAAGAGCTTAGATGTAAGATTACAACATCTTATTCAAGATTTAACATGATTAAATGTTACAATACAGAAAAATTTAGGGGTAATTTAAACTTCTCACTCAGAACATGTGAAACTCTCATGCATCTCTAATCAGTGGTCACCTGAATCCTAAAATTTTAAATTATTTAAAAATCTGATGAATAATCTTTCAATTATTAACTTTTCTCTCTCTCTCTCTCTCTCTCTCTCTCTCTCTCTCTTTTTTTTCTATGATAATACGTGGAATACAGCAGCATTTGTTATGTGGTGGTTTATTATTTATATTGGACTATACTATTCTATCCCTCACTAATTCTGCATAGAGCCCTCCCTGTGTTTACCATTTTTCATTAGCAATTATTTCTTGACCATCTACTATGTGCCAGTATTCTAGAAGTCAGGAAAAGAAAGTACCAGAATGACATTCTAATAATTCCTCCTATGCTTCTAGACCTTACTTAACATTGTTAGTTCTAGAATGTTTTTGTGCTACTACTTCCTGCTGTATATTCTTTTATTTTTAGTTTAAATCTCTTCTCTTTAATTATTTTATTCATTTTTAATTTTTAAAATACTTTAGTTGAATTAATTGGAGTGACATTGGTTAATAAAATGATATAAGTTTCAGGGGTACAATTCTATAATATATCATCTACACACAGTATTGTGTGTTCACCACTTCAAGTGATATGTATTATTCTCATTCCCAGTTTTACTTATCTAGTTACCATGCTATAGAGCTAGTGATTATTACAGGGCTCCACAATTAGACTCGTTTTCTTTCAAGCCGGGTAGGGACTTTCTATCAATATATGTACATGAATGCTAATTGATAATCATTCATTTAAATACATGGAGTAGAGACAGAATTATTCAGTAAATGTTGTCTGGATGAAAAGAAAAATGAATCCATAAGAGCTTCCTTCCATTGTATATTACAAAGCTCCCTTTGGCTTTTAGGACTGTCCGAGTACCTGCCTCCTAATTCTGTTCTACAGGGAATAATGGCAATTTAAATACAAATAACTAAGTTTATATTTTTCCTTCTTATATCTCCTAAATCATCGGTAGTGCCAGAAAATAGGCAATAAAAGCTCTACTTGACCAAATTTTAGTCAGGCTCCTCTGAGCACTTTTTTTTTTTTTTTTTTTTTTTTTAAATCCCCACCGACAGAGGCAGGAGAGGCTCCTGATACTGTCGCTGTGCTAGCCAGCCATGAGCCTGGCTTTTGGCTGAGAGTGCTTCTCCTGTGGGAGCGCACTACTGGTCAGTGCTCATCATAGCGACTGGTCGTTCTACCGTTTGGTCTATTTGCATATTAGCCTTTTATTGACTGAGTATTAAATGTTCACTGAAGTCTTGTATCTTTGGGTAGAGCATTTTCAATTTATCCTTATTACATTTCCTTTTTTCATAAATTATAAAATAAATACATGCTCATTCTAAAATTTTCAAGTGCCTACTTTTCTCTCACTCCAAGGTAAGCACTTAACATTTTGGAATAGATCTTTCACTCTCTTCAATGTATACTAAACTAAAGAAGATTATACAGGAGAACAATGACCATGTCTTTTTTACATCTCATCATTAATTATATTTCCAGTTTTTAATAAAGTATTTGGTACAGAGTGGTCTCTCAATAAATTAAATAATTTGCTCAAGTTCAATTCATATATAATGTTGCACAATTTTTTTCCTTTATACTAAATCTTTCTTGTCAGTAATGATGGAGCTACATTACATCCATTCTTATGGATATATGTAACTGTGTAATCAACAACATAGTTGTTACTAATTTCTCATCATTACAAACAACAAGGCAATGAATATAAATAAATATATAAATTTAAGGATATATGAATATGTACATACATGTACCCCAGCATTTAAATTAAAAGGACATTTTAATTTTCTTATACTTTAAAAAAATGTATTTTTTTTTTATTTCAGAGAGGAAGGGAGAGTGAGAGAGATAGAAATATCAATGAAGAAAAGAATCACTGATCAGCTGCCTCCTGCACACCTGCCACTGAGGATCAAGCCCACAACCCAGGCATGTGCTTCATGGTTCATAGATCAATGTTTCAACCACTGAGCCATGCTGGCCAGGCTCATTTTTTTAAAAAAATATATATTTTATTGATTTTTTACAGAGAGGGAGAGGGATAGAGAGCTAGAAACATCGATGAGAGAGAAACATCGACTAGCTGCCTCTTGCACACCCCTTACTGGGGATGTGCCTGCAACCAATGTACATGCCCCTGACTGGAATCGAACCTGGGACCTTTCAGTCCCCAGGCTGACGCTAATGTCCACTAAGCAAAACCGGTTTTGGCCAGGCTCATTTTTTTTTATACTTATTCTCTACTTTGCTTTAAGCTCTCATAGGTCACTTATATAAATTTTATATATACGAAAACTAAAACAATAATACATTATTATAATGAATTTTCAATTTTGTATTTTTATTTTTTTATTATATATTTTATTGATTTTTTACAGAGAGGAAGAGAGAGGGATAGAGAGTTAGAAACATCGATGAAAGAGAATCATCGATCAGCTGCCTCCTGCACACCCCCTACTACTGGGGATGTGCCTGCAACCAATGTACATGCCCTTGACCGGAATCGAACCCGGGACCTTTCAGTCCCCAAGCCGACGCTCTATCCATTGAGCCAAATTGGTCTCGGCAATTTTGTATTTTTATTTGTTAAAACACAATATAAATCTTAATAATATAACATGCTCCCAAGTACAAAAACTTAGGGTGGGGTGGGGAATCTTACCATTCTTGCTGACATCCAGTTCCCTGAGATTAATGAGATTTGCAATAGATGCTGGTAATGTTGTTAAATCATTGTCTGGCAAACTCAGTTTGTGTAGAGATTGACAGTTAAAAAGTTGCTATTAAAACAAGGGAAGAAAAGACTTTGATCATTTCTTAAGTTTCCTTAATTTTTCATTTATTAACCTTTATACAAATAAATAGTATTATTAAAAGTGAATCAGTTATACCTATACAAATACCAAGAAAGATCTTATTATTTTATGCTCTTATAAATCTGAACACAAATCAACCGACTCAAAATGATTTACATCCTAACACTTCTACCTTGAGCAAAATGCACTAAGTGAGAATATGATTGTATTCTCTATTGAGGTAGTAAAAAAATAAGTGGCTATAAAATATTGTATATTTTGGAACTTGTATTTCAACACCCTTATTCCAAAATGAAAGGTTACATAAATTAAGTTTAAGTAAGTGCAATCAACTTAAAATTTATTCAAAATATAGAATTCTGGTATGGGAGGAGGACAAATAAGTATGGGGGCAAATATATTGTTATGCTAAAATCACAATTAAATGTGACCTAAAAATATATTTACCGAAAGAAATAGGTAAGTGGGCCACTTCTAAGTTCCACACAAAAAAACAACAAAAACTTATATTGTGCACAGATTTTTAGGGCATTGCAAATACTCTGTATGATACCATAATAACGGATATATGTCATTCATTATACCTATGTCCAAACCCACAAAATAGGTAACATTAAGAGTGAAAACTAATGTAAACTATCTACTTTAGGTGATTATGATTTTTCAATGCAGACTCCTCAATTAAACAAATGTATCATTTTGGTGGGAGATGTTGATAATGGTGGAGGCATGTGTGAGGACAGAGTAGGTATATGGGAAATCTGTATACCTTCCTGTTAATATTGTTGTGATTAAAAAACTGTTATAACAAAGTAAAGTCGTTTAGAAAAACAGAATGGCATTATGAATAAGCCCTATTTAAGAAGGGCATTCTTCCAAAAATGAAAAATGGTAAGTATAAGTGATTCAGTTATTTGCACTATCGTAACAAGCCTCTCTCTTTTCAACAATCCCTAGATTGATACCCCACTGGTGGTGATTAGAGAAAGAAACTATTCTTAGTCTTCCACATCCTCTAGGAGAATTGGCTAAGAAAGATAAATTATTTGCTGAAGAACAATATGGAAAAAGTACATTATACAGCACTTGATCATAACATAGGGAAATAATTCATGAACATGCAACCCACAACATTTTTTGAGAAATGTTTTATTGATTTCAGAGAGGAAAGGAGAGGGAGAGAAACATCAATGAAACAGCTTACTCATGCACACTGGGGATCGAGACAACAACCCTGCCATGTTCCCTGATCGGAACCAAACCAACTGATTTATGGGTTGACACTCAACCACTGAGTCACACCAGCCGGGCAACTCACAACCTTTAATATTTTATCCATAGCTATATATGATTTCTTTATAAGACAACCTAGAATGGCAATAGATTTTAAAATGTTCTATTTTACTAATGGCTACTGAAATACAAGCCTTCCTTTTTCAAAACTGCCACCCAGTAGGTATACACACAGACAAAAATCTAAAATTTTGCATGTAACAATGGATACATACAACACACTCTACTTTCTATTCCATTAAAGTTAGCATTGCTGATAAAATATAAAATGCCTGATTAAATTAGGTCTCAGGTAAACAATAACTTTTTAGTAACAGTATGTCCTATATATTGCATAAGACACACTTATAATAAAAAATTATATATTATTTATCTGTATATTGTTTAACTGGGTGTACTATTTTTTTATTTTCTAAATTTGCCAGTAAAAATCATAGCTTATTATTTAGAAATGCACACATATTGACTTTTAAGCCATTCATGTGTCTACCCACAGTTAGAAAAGTTTGGGTGGCAAATGGTTCTAACAATTAAATTAAAGCTATTGCAGCTTTTCCATTTAAAAAAGAAGAATTGAGTAGAGAATAAAGAGGATTAAGATTTAAGGGAAAAAGTAGTCACAAAAAGTTTTAATCAAGTAGATAAGATGAGACATTTCATGGCAACAATCCAACTTCCCCTTCTAGTTGTTTCTACATTTCAGAAATATTAAGTCCTCCAAAACCTTTCCAAACAAACTGAAATGAGGTAAACAAAATGCTATCTCTAAGAAGCTGTTTAATAATTAAATTAAAATGTAACAAACAAAAAATGCCAATTTATCCCCAATGATAATAATGTAGGATCAATGTTTTACAAAACCAGAAAAAGAAAATTTCAATTCTTAGTCTAGTTAAATTTATTGGCTGCAGAAATTGTGTAGTCTTATTGTATATCTTAGTGGCTATAACAAAACTGAAATTAAATACAAAATGTTAAATACAAAATACAAAAAGGTATATTACCACACCTTCAGTTACTTACACAACTACTCAAGCAGTTAACATAAAGAGAGAGAGATTAAAAATTCTATTTTTAAAATGGTTGGGCCTGGCTGGAGTGGCTCAATTGGTTGAGTGGCATCTGGTGCATCAAAAGGTTGCTGGTTCGATTCCTGGTCAGGGCCCCTATCTAGATTTCAGGTTTGATCACTAGTTTGGAAGCATATCAAAGGCAAGTGATCAATGTTTCTCTTTCATATATATACATACATCTATCTATCTATCTATCCGTCCGTCCGTCCGTTCATTCATCCACCCACCTATCACCTCTCCCTTCCTCTAAGTATGTCCTTGACTGAGGAATATATATATATATAGTGCAGCATACCCTAAGATAAAATTAAACAAACAAAAAATGGAAACAGTGCACACAAATACAGGGTGTCACAAAAAAAGTATACACATTTCAATAGCTGAGCTCAATTTTGAAAATGCAATGTACTTTAATAAACACCGCCTTTATAATTATTGTCTGCATATATTTTTAGGGGATACCTTATACAACTGCAGCATTATAGCAACATCGGGAATATCATATTTCTAGATATAAAAATAACAAGGCAATCCTTTAAAGACGTATGAACATACCTTTGGAAGCTCTTCAATTTGATTAGCATCTAAATAGAGCTCCTCCAAAGTTTTTTCAAAAGTAAAAATCTCTTTGGGAACCTGTTCCAAACTGCAATGAGAATAATCAAGAGTAGTGACAGTCTCCTCTTCCCCTCGTAGGCATCGGCAGGGTACCAACCGCACAAACAAACTTCGTTTTGTAGTCATTTTTAGACACTGCAATAGTCAAATAACAATAAATTTAGTTAAAACATACATATTAACAAAAAGAAAAACATACATATTAAAACAATTTTTCAAAACAAATTATGCATTTATCACAATTTATGTATTACAGATAAATACCTCCTCACCTACGTTCAATGAAATGCATTTAACATTGCTGTACTATACAATTTATATATATTACATTCAAATTAAATTCAAGCACTTCTGGCCCTGGCCATGTAGCTCAGTTGGTTAGAGTGTCATCTCAATATTTTTGGGTTCGATGTCCAATCAGGGCACATAAAAGAGGCAACCAATGAATGCAGAGTAAGTTAGAACAACAAACCCATGCCTGTTTGTCTGTCTCTCCACTCCCCATTCTTCTCTCTTAAAGAAATACACACTAAAATTCAGTTTTAACAGTTTCTTTGGGTCTTTGTTTCTATATGAAGGCTCACATGTCATTTATAACTTATCTATAAATAATAAAAGCGGAATATAAGCTAATTAGACTGGATGGCCGAACAGCAAAACGACCATCTGGACTACCTTCAGGATGAAGCCGGGGCTATGAGAACCGAGGCCCTTGTAACAATTTTGGGCATTGTGCCTCTAGTATTATTACATAAATGTGTATGCTTTTCTCCTGTTAATCTGTTTTGTTAGTTTAATTTTCAGATGCAGCCAGGGACCCAGAGATAGTTAAGGAAAATTTTTTCTTCCCTTACACTACGATATCAAACATCAAATGTTCTATAAAATCTTTGTCTCATAGAGATCATGACTATAATTAATAATACTGTACTGCATTTTTAAAGTTGCTAAGAGAATAGATCTTAAAAGTTCTCACCGCAGGAAAAAATATTTGTAACTATGTGTGGTGATGGATGTTAACTTTATTGTGTAATCATTTTGCAATATACAAAATATCAAATCATTACATTCTACACCTCAAATTAACATGTCAATTCTACTAAATAGAGTAATAAAAATCTTGTCAACAAATAAGTATTCAGTAAAGTTTACTGAATGCTATTGCAAATCATGAATAGATCATGTCCCAGACATATGTTCAGAAATTGCATAAGTCAGTAGAGACAATTAACTCAGAAAAGGAATTAGATGCATAGCTCTAGGAATCTACAAAAAGAGTTTATATCTCAAATGAAAACTTTCTGTGAACAGTGGCTATGAAGAGAACAGTTTATATTTCAGATTGAATACAATGGGCCTTGAGCCAATTAAAAAATGAACCCAATTCAGCAGACTAAATACTGCTGATTGAAAATAAGGGAACCTTAATTATTGAGGGGAGAGGAGGAAATAAGTGAGTGACATTACACAAAGAGATCCACCATTACACAATATAGTAAGAAAGCAAACCAAAGGGAGAAAACCTTGCCTGGTCTGAACAGGAAGTGATCAACATGGGGACTATTAATTAGAACTTTAGTGTTGTGATAAGCAAGAGTCACTTGATAAATCAGACAACATGGTAGATGAAAAAATTTTCTAATCAAATAAAGAGGAATGATCCAAGAAAAAAAAGGCATAATAATAAGCCAAAACACTTTCTTTTTCTTCCCCCAAAACACTTTATAACAACAACAAAAATTAAAGCCACTTACCACTTGGCTGAATTTATCTCCCTGCTGTTTCTTAATTGAGCCAACATTCTATGAAAACAAACAAACAAAAATTAACACAAAAATTAGATCTTTATGACTCTAAGGAACATATTTTTAAATTTCTTATTTACCTCATAATGTAAAATAAAATTCTCAAAAATTCACCAGTGTAAACTGACACATGCAAACTTGCTAACTTCCAAATAAATGGCTAACTTTTCTTTTTTTAAATATATTTTATTGATTTTTTACTGAGAGGAAGGGAGAGGAATAGAGCGTTCGAAACATCCACTAGCTGCCTCCTGCACACCTCCTGCTGGGGATGTGCCTACAACAACAGTACATGCCTTTGACTGGAATCGAACCTGGGACCCTTCAGTCTGCAGGCCAATGCTCTATCCGCTGAGCCCAACCAGTTAGGGCTAAATGACTAACTTTTCAATCAGTCATTGGATTATTCTTAATTCATTTGTAAGCTATCTAGAGTCCTGCTCTATAGCAAATAACAAATATCTCTCAACCTACCATTAAAATCCCATTTATATGAACTTACTGAGAAATGATCAAGTTTTTCCAAGCAAATAAATGCTAATAACCAATTATATAGAAATTTAGTAGTTTTTGATGGTTTTATTTGGCAGAAGGTATTAATTGCTTATCAGATTCTATTTCTCCTTTCTAGATTTTTTCTTCTCTCAGGCTGGTGATGGGTTTATTTGGCAGAAGGTATTAATTGCTTATCAGATTCTATTTCTCCTTTCTAGATTTTTTCTTCTCTCAGGCTGGTAATGGAGACCACTAAATACCCATTTTTAAGCTTTCCAAGGTTGGAAAGGCAATGAATGGATAACAATTAAGACCAATGACATACACTCAGAAGTTTGCTTTGGAGGTGGAATGAGGAGGGTTGGTTCTAAAAAAAAATTTTTTTTAAATGTGCTTTCTATATCCAGGACTAGATGTGAATGTAATGTCTATCCTGCAACCATCATCCTAAAACCATAAAAGTTAGCAAAAGCAAGAGGATTTACACCAAATCAATAAGTCTGACAGTGTAGAAGCACAAAACCAGCTGTGGAGTTTCTAATAGCACTGCTGTTAAAATTAGCTGAAGCAATGCTAACTACCATATAATTCTGGATTTCTTAGTTTGTAAAAAAACAAAACAAAAAAACAACAACAAAATTTCTATTTGCTTAAACCATTTCTAAATTTTCTATACATGTAACCAACATATTCCAAAATGAGATAACCTGAAACCCAAAACAATGGCATTAAAAAGCATACACATCATAATCTTTCTTAAGAATTCAGAGATATTAATAAATGTGTTTTGAAGTTTTATAGAATAACTCTAATGTAACAGAGTATTTGTCTCTATGCTAAGTAGTTTTTAGGACTACTGAGTTGTTTAATCTTCTCCACAAATTCTACATATAGTACATGCCACAAACAATACCTTTGTACGTAGCAAGCAAAGGATGGCCACTAAATTTGTCATTCTACATATTCCCACTTATGTGATAGCCTAGTAGAATGGAACTGCTAATAAAACTGAGATGGACTAAGACCATGGAAGGAGCATGTTGGAGAGGCGATGAGAGGAGCTTGTGCTTTGAAACATTAGTGTAAAACACCTGACATGTCTTGGTGGGACCCTCAGTGGACAGTTGGATATGGGTGTTCAGAGATGGAGGAAAGAGATCCAAGCTGAGGATATAAATTTGGAAGTCATCTGCTTACAGATGATATTTAAAGCAATAAAATTAGGTGAAAGCATCAAGAGCATAAATGTAGAAAAAAAAAAGATAGTTTTAAGAAGTTATCAGCTACTAGTATATTAATGAGAATTACCACTGTATAGTAATGCAACAGTTATTATCTTGACAAGATCACTTATTGTGGAGTGGTGGAGACCAAACTGTTTGGAAGGGATTCAAGAAGTAAGAACAGCATAACTTGACATAACAGATATGGACAACTCAGGCTGTTTGGCTAAGGAGGACATTAGAAAAATAGAGCAGCAGTGAGGGAAGAATGAGTCACAACAATGGATCTGTAGGCAGACGGAAATAATCTAGTCAACGAAAGAGAAGAGCCCATTGAAATTTTTTTATAAAGCAATTTAGGCAACAATTCACACAGTCCTAGCAAAATCTCTCACCAATAAAAAAGCTGCTCATGAGAAGAAAAACAGAAAGCTGGGGTGCAATGGTGGAATTAACTGAATAAAATTCATGTAGAGTATTTTATATTACCACACCTTCTAAGAGATTCTGATTTAGGAGATATATAATAAAACCGTAATCGACAGAATGGCAGAATGACTGGTTGCTATGATGTGCACTGACCTTCAGGGGAGTCAGAAGCCAAGCTGAGGAACCCCCACCCCCAGTGCACGAATGTTGTGCACCAGACCTCTAATTAGATATACAACTCAAGATTCTTCCCCCACCCTCAAAACTCAAGATTCTTTATCATGAAAATTGCTCAAAGTAGAAGAAAAATCTTCAGAAATCTTCTCCATGTCAGTTTCAAAAGAATGACATCAATTGTAGAACAAGAGAGCCTATTTTTACAGAAAACAATTTTTCATTCCACTATCCTATATAATAAAAGGCTAATATGTAGCCCAAACCGGTTTGGCTCAGTGGATAGAGTGTCAGCCTGCGGATTCGATTCCAGTCAAGGGCATGTACTTGATTGTGGGCACATCCCCAGTGGGGAGTGTGCAGGAGGCAGCTGATCAATAATTCTCTCTAATCGATGTTTCTAACTCTCTATCCCTCTCTCTTCCTCTCTGTAAAAAAATCAATAAAACATATAAAAAAAAAAAAAAGGCTAATATGTAAATAGACCAACTGGCAGAACAACCAAACAACCAGTTGCTAAGATGCGCGCTTAGCACCAGGGGACATGCAAGGAACATGGTGGGTGTTGGCAGCAGGCAGCAGAGTGTGGAACATGGTAGGCGTCGGCCACAGGGGGATGGTGGAGCAGGTGAATGGGGCACCAGACCAAGGTGGGGCACAGGTCGCTGTCATCTGAGTGAGCCTCTGGTGGTTACTGAAAATTCTTCGCTCTGCATACCACAGTCCCGCCCAGCGCTTGCATCTGCTGTCGGCACCGGCCCTGCTTGCACCTGCTGCTGGTGCTGGAGCTGCCCATGGCACCCACTGCTGGTCCCAATCACTTGGCACTGGCAGCAGGTGCCAGCCCTGATCACCCCCCTCAGGGCTTTTCCGTCCCTCCTGCTCCTGAGGGGCAATTGGGGCTGGCAGCTGCCGCTCCCACCCACTGCCAGCACCAGCCCCACTCGAACCCATAGCTGGCACTGGAGCCACTGTTTGCACCCACTGTCAACATCTAGTG